GCACCCAGGCCTCATAACATCCTCCTGAAGAAAGGAAGTGGCAGAGAGTGTTAAAACGTTACTGGTTAATCATGGGGAAACTGAAGCATGGATAGGTTTATGAGGCTTGAGCAGAGTTACACAATGCCTTAGTGTCTGGCCTGGGAATGAGGCCTGAGTTTGCCGCTTGCTGTCAGGGCTGCCGACAGCATTGTGTTTTGCTTTGTATGACAGTGAAAAGGGCTTACTCTTAACAATGCAAGAGCTGCTGTAGGAGACACATACAATGAACTTTGGTACAGTATAGTCTAGAGGCCAAAATGAGTAATTTTAAGTACATTGACTATAGGATCCAAAGCTTCATTAAGTTTTAAAACAAAAAACAAATGAAAACTCTTTACAGTTTTTAGGAACTGACTCAGAAAACATGACTATTCCTTCCCCATTGGAAGTAGCATACTCTTAAAAGTTTTATCTTGTTGACTCAAAATCTGACGCTATTCCTGTTACCCATAGGATGATTTATTCCGTCATTTCAAATACATGTTGATTTCTAAGAGTCTGTGATTTATTTAGAAGATTTTGCCTTGTAATAACTATCAATCTAGATTTTAAGTTCCATAGCCTGTGGTTTTGTGGAGAGGCTTTTGTTTTATTCAGTTTTGGTTTGGGTTCTTATAGAACAACTGAAACTACAGAGCCTGGACTTTGAGAAAGAGCTTGGGGAGGTGCAGGGGGAGATGTCACGTTGGATGTCTTTATGACATTCAGTTATATGATTGAAACCATGGGACTGGAGATGACATCACTGGTGAGAATATAAAAAGGGAAGAGAGGCCGGACTCAGTGGCTCACGCCTGTAATCTCAGCACTTTGGGAAGCTGAGGTGAGTGGATCGCCTGAGCTCAGGAGTTGGAGAGCAGCCTGAGCAACATGGTGAAACCCCATCTCTACAAATACAAAAATTAGTTGGGTGCGGTGGTGCACACTTGTAATCCCAGCTACTCAGGAGGCTGAGGTGGGAGGATTGCTTGAGCCTGGGATTTGGAGGTTGCAGTGAGTGGAGATTGCTCCACTGCACTCCGTCCTGGCTGACAGAGAGAGATCGTTTTGAGAAAAAGAGAAGAGAAGGCTGGGCGTGGTGGCTCACGCCTGTAATCCCAGCACTTTAGGAGGCTGAGGTGGGTGGATCCCCTGAGGTCGGGAGTTTGAGACCAGCCAGGCCAACATGGTGAAACCCCGTCTCTACTAAAAATACAAAAATTAGCCAGGCGTTGTGGCGCATACCTGTAATCCCAGCTACTCAGGAAGCTGAGGCATGAGAATCAGTTGAACCCGGGAGGTGGAGGTTGCTGTGAGCTGAGATTGTGCCATTGTACTCCAGCCTAGGCACCGGTCAACAAGAGCAAAACTCCATCTGGAAAAAAGAAAAAAAGAGAAGAGAAAAGACAGTGGAGTAGAATATCACTGATATCATTATGAAATCATCTTTTATGTCAGAAGTGCCTTAGGTGATCTACAATAAACAGGTGAAATAGAATGGAGTTGGCTACAAAGTTTTTATACTCTGGATTTTAAAAAGAACATGAAGATGAAATTCTGGAGTGTTTGGCAAAAATATGAGTGATAATGACATGAATAATTTAAGCAGGATGCTCTAGCAATCAGTCACATACAGTTTCATTCGATATTTTAAGATTTATGATAGTCAGGCCAGACCTCCTCCAGGAGATAGTCCAGAGGAAGGAGCTGAGTGAGAATGAGGGCCTCTGGAGCAGGAATGGTATCTCTTCTCCTTGAACCCCAAACAAGACCAAAGCAGCCCAGTAAAAGAAACTGTGTGACTAGTTTTATTGTTTGTCCTAATTGAATGTGGAAGACCTTTTCTAAGTCTGAACAGCTGCTAGCCAGTGGCCATCTTTGAGGGAACAGATACATACATAAATAAACCTATCTCTGAGAAAAACTCTCATGCTGAGTCTGGGAGACAGACTTTATAAAAAAGCTTGTAAAAGTCAGACAGTATCAGCCAGCCTTCATATGAATCCACAACACGATGTGTTGGCGTCTAGAATGCTCTTAGTAGTTATGGTCATTAATCTTGTGGGAGAGGGTGTGCTGGAACTAAAGGAAGGTCAGAGAAGAACATCTCATAGGATGAAGACAGACTGAAATAAGTAGGACTCCTCAGGCTTGAAAAGACTGAGAGGAAATACAATTAACGTGAATAAACCCACGAAGAATATGGGTCATAGAACTGTTTACCAGAAGCAGGCAGAACCTCTTGAAAATGGAGGAAAAGTGAATCTAGGACAAAAAGAAGCTCTAATTTACCAAGAAAGTTGATCGTGTACACCAAAACCACTATTTAGGGAACTAGGCTAACTAATGGCATTGAAGTAAAGTGAAAAAGTCAAGGGTTTCTAATTTTGACATTATTTTCTTGAAGCGTGGAGGGCCCAGAGAGCATAGATCAAGCATCCTATTAGTCTCTCTGTTTTCTTTATTCTTTGCTTAGGTAAAATTTAAGTGTCGTTCATTCTTCATTCAACAATTATCTGCTGAGGGTAGATTCTGTGCCATGTTCTCTGCTAGACACTGGGGGTACTGAGATGAAGGGGGACAGACATGGTTCTTACAGGCTGGTGACTAATAAGAAACGACAATTGTCTGTGTAATGAATTTACAAAAGCCCTGTGGAGCTTGACGTGAATTGCTAACGCAATCTTAGGATTGGAGGAGACTGCCCTGAGGACTGGATGATTAAGTTGAGACCTAAAATTGATGAGGTGTTGGCTAAGTCCAGAATAGGGGAAAGAGGGAACCGCATATTAGATGCCTCAATTGAGGTAAGAGAGGGAATGGTTGGAGGATCTAGGGGAGTGAGGGCAATGAGGCTTGTGAGCTTGGCTGGAGCATATCATGGAGTGTGGTGTAGACCATGGTAAGGATTTGGGTTGGAGAGCTGGGCAAAGTCACTGGGATGGCTTAAGCATGTATGGTCAGATTTTCTGTTTATAAGCAATCCAGTGGCTGCAGTGTGGAGAATAGGGGGCACAAGTGCAAATATACTGGACCTAGTGGGAGGATATTGATGTTGTCCAGGTGATGATGGCCTGGGCTGGACAGAAGTGGACAGATCCTAGAGCTACTTCAAAGGTCATATGAACTGGATTTGTTGATTAGATGTGAGAAATGAGGGAGAGAGATAATCAAGCTTCATTTACGAGAGTATGACAGCCAATTAGGATTCAGATTTTATCTAAGTGAGATGAATCAACAGACTTTTTTATAGGTCTCTTCTCTCATGATCTCCAGATGACCCAGAAGTGAGTAGATCTGCCTTCTTTCCTCCCTGTTTCTTCCTTTCCCTCTTTCTCTCATGAATCATTCAGGGTCTAAATGTTTCAGGCTCTATAAGCTGGCACATCGTTGGCCCCTATGGATAAGTAGAAAGATCAAAAGCTGCATGAATGATACCCTGTCTCCCAAATCCTCTTGGCTTTATTCCCTATGGATAAGTAGAAAGATCAAAAAGCTGCATGAATGATAAATTCTGTCTCCCAAATCCTCTTGGCTTTCTTCCTTCCTTCCTTCCTTCCTTCCTTCCTTCCTTCCTTCCTTCCTTCCTTCCTTCCTTCCTTCCTTCCTTCCTTCCTTCCTCCCTTTCCTTTCCTTCTCCTTTCCTTCCTTCTCTCCCTTTCCTTTCCCTTCCTGTTTCCTTTCCTGCTTTCCTTGCTTTTTCTGGGAGATGGAGTCTCACCTTGCCCACGCGCTGGAGTGCAGCAGGTGACCTTGGCTCACTGCAACCCTCTGCCACCCAGATTCTGGTGATTCTCCTGCCTCAGTCCCCTGAGGCTGGGACACAGGCGCCTGCCACCATGCCTGGCTAATTTTTTTTTTTTTTTGTATTTTTAGTACAGACGCGGTTTTACCACATTGGCCAGACTGGTCCTAAAGTGCTGGTATTACAGGCGTGAGCCACCGTGCCTGGCCCAGATCCCCTTGTCTTTAACTCTTGCAGAGCAAACAGGTTTGTGCAGTGCACAAACTATACTACAGTTCATAGTACCCTGGTTGGTTGACCTGAAACAGAATTTAACAAAGGCCAGAAAGGCAATGGTATATACAGAGACTGTATTTAATGACTTTAAAAATCTTTGTATTTTGAAATAATATCAGTAGTAAGACCAGAACAAGGAATTTTCCTCTATTCTCTTCACTCAGCATCACTAGTCATTAACATTTTGCCATGTTGACTTTATCACTCTCCTCACCAGATAAAGATGGAGTTGGAGATTTAGAATTTTTCTGAGCCAGTTAATTTTGGACATCAAGACCCTTCACCTCTAAATACTTAGAGGTATTATAAATAATTAGAATATTTTCTCAGAACAATGATTTTTCTTACATAACCACAGTACATTGATTACATTCAGGAAATTTAACCTTATACAGTACTCTTATCTAATATGCAGTCTATATTCAGTGTTCACTTATTGTCTCAATAATGTCATTTATGGCTTTTTTTTTTTTTCTTCTTGATCTAGGATCCAGTCCAAGATGTACTGCATTTTTATTATGTCTTTTTAGTCTTCTTTAACGTGGAACAGTTCCTCAGTCTTTCTTTGACTTTTAAGACATTGGTATTTTGGAGGAGAACAGCCCAGTTGCCTTATGGAATACTCCTTAGATTGGCTTTATCTGGTTTCCTCATGCTTAGATTCAGATTGTGTGGTTTTGGCAGGAAAGCTGTGGGATGATGTCATGCTTTTTGCAGTGCACCTGCCATAGCAGGAAGGCAGCCATGAAGTAGAAAAACATTTCATAACTAAGGATGTTAACTTTGATCACTTGGCTAGAGTGGTGTCTCTAGGTTTCACTGTTCTAAAGTTACCATTTTCTTCCTTATAGGTAATAGTTTATTCAATTACTTTTTAATACTTAGTCATTGTAAATGTGACTAAGGTTTATTTCCACACTCTCATTTAAAGGAACATTTCCCCCCCTTCTTTTGGCAGTGTTTTAGAGCACTTTGCTGCAAGGGACCACCACCTGCACGACCAGAATATGACCTGGTTTGCATAGGCCTCACAGGCTCTGGCAAAACCAGTCTGTTATCCAAACTCTGCAGTGAAAGCCCCGAGAACGTCGTGTCGACCACAGGTGGGTACTGTGCTGGGATTCCGTCCCTTCTTCTTTCTCATCCCAAGATGTCCTGGTTTCCTGTGCAATTTATGTGGTTCCTCCCCTCCCTTCTACTTATAGTTTAATGCTTTAGTCAGTTTATTAATTTTAAACACTATCTCTTTTTCAAAAAAGATTTGAAATGGATTTAATAGCATTAAACTGCTGTATCTTGCATCCCTCTAGCAGCTCATTTCAGTGGCACTAAATAAATGAAGCTTGGGAAAATATTAATACAAATGAATCCTGAAATCTGGAACTCTGATATATGACAAAATGGATTCATCTTGGGTCCGTGGAGTACTTTCCTTCCTTGAAGTGTCACTCCAGCCTATGTTTCTTGGCCACACACTCCCTGAACAGTAAACTGAATTTTCTTCCCTCATCATTTTTCACCTGGAGGAAAGTCAGTGCAAGAGATTATCCATCAGCCTTTCCCTATTGCTTCCTGATGGAGCCAAGCAAAGTCAGTCTAGGGCACTGGTTCTCAATCAGGGGAGATTATGCCTCTAAGGGGGACATTTTGGAGACATTTGTGGGCAGGGGTATTACTGGCTTCTGGTGGATAGAGGCCAGTGGTGCTACTAAACATCCTACAATGCACAGGGTAGCCCCCAAAGAAAAGAGTTATCAGGCCCAAAATGTTTTCGGTGTCAAGTTATTAGTGAGAAATCCTGGCTAGGGTTTTTTTTTTTTTTTTTCACTTACCAAGTGTGTCCTCTTTCTCTTCTGACAATGAAGAAGGAAAGAAGAGTATAAGTTAGAGGAAATAATGGAAGAACAGTTGTAAGAGATGGAGAACAGAGCTGCTGTGCAGAGAGAGCTGATAAGGAAGGAGAAGGGTGAGACGTTGTCTGGAAAGTTGAAAAGCTTGTTCATCAGCCAGCTTATTTTGAGCATCTACTATGTGCTAGGTTCAGTGTTAGACATGAGATAAGCAATGATTTCAGCATTCCAGGAGTCTCAGTGTACTGGCTGCATAAACATTAGGTTCATATCCAGAAATCGACGGGGCGTGGAAGGAAGGGGCATGACAGTGTTGCCTGGACCTGGGGAAGGGAAGGATGCATGATATGGTTTGCTACGTTAGATTTGAAGTTGATAAGTAGGTCTGGTGCAAGAAACAAGGTGAGGGGGTGAAAAAGAAAGAGGACTTAGGAGCAGAGGGGCAGTGTGAAGACAAGGAGTGTGAAACAGGTTGGCAACCCCTAGAAACTGCATTTCTGTGTGGCTGCAGTGTATGTTTAATAGAGTGCCAGGAGACAAATTGTATTCAGTGGTGGCTGACTCTTAGCAGACCTTTCATACTGTGCTCAGGAGTTTGGGCTTTCTGTGTAGATAGTGCAGAGACATCAGACTGTTTTAAGCAAGGAAACTACATGATCAGATGTCCATTTGAGAAGAATCAAACTGGCCATGATGTGGAGGCTAAATTGTGAGTAGTACAGTTAGAGGCGGAGTCAGAAGATTACTGAGATGGTGTGACTGAGATGATGAAGGCCTTGGCTGAGGCAGTTACAGGGGGAGGAAGAGGAAGGAATAGGTAGGATACATATTTGAGGGCTAGAATTGACAAAGCCTAGTGCAGTTGAGTTCAGAGAGTGAGAGTGAGAAAGCCATGGCTGTCTCAATTCCTGGCTTAGGTGATGATTGGATGATGGAATTATTAATTAGGATTTCCTACAAAAAATAGAAAGGATATTGTTGATCAAGAACCTTACTTCAGTTCAGGTCAGCCTTTGCCAGCAAGTAAGCTAGAAAAAAAGTGCAGGTTTTGAGAACTTTTCCGATTTTAGAATTGAGATGAGAAACTGTGGAGCTGTTAAAGGAATGAGACATCGCTTGGTTTTAGGATGAGGGAAAGAATAAGGGGATTGTAATGAGTAGAGAGATCCCAGAGAGGATTAGCAGAGCTCATGTATAGCCTCTTTGCAGGAAGCTGTTTCTGACTACCTTCTTTTCTCCTTGGACAGAACTGAGTACTCCTTCCTCTCCCCACTAGGCGTTGTCTGTATTTCTCCCAGTTAGTGCCTGTAGCACTGCTTTGTGTACATGCCCATCTCCCCATCTTGGGTTAGAATCTCCTAAGGGCGGATAGAGCATTGTATGGGTATTGTATACCCAGAGTCTGGCACAAGGTTTGAGCATGGATACAGATGTCTGTTAAATTAATAAGCAAATGAAAGTAAATTGAATCTATATAGTCCTCTGTCAGCCTTATAACAGCGCTTATATGACAGGTAGGAATCTTTTTCCATATTCTGTTTCTAAATTACCTGAAGATCAAAGGTATGATGACATGGCTATTGTTATACAGCTAGAGATAGGATGCCAGTTCAGGTGTTCACGTGAAGTTTAATGGTATCCAAGGTTTAGGATTTCTGATGGAAGTATGTACTTTATTGGTTGTTTGTAAAACTGTGAATATCTTTTGACTAATGTGCAATGAAGTTCTATAAACCTTATTAGCTTAATTCTTTTCAAGAAAAATAGCTTCTAAAATATGTGTAAGAGTAACGCAAAGTATGCTTTTCTTCACTTACCAGAGTTATCTTTCAGCACTATGGCTGGAGGAGCAGTTTCGAATTATAGTGTAAAAGATTGTCTGTATATAATTTTATTACTTGTAAGTTATGTTTTGTATTTGTTTTTATTACATTTTTTAATAATATGTTTTACCAGAATCATTGTGTGCTAGTTGATTTTCTGATTAATTAGTTATTAGATTGGCTAATTTTTTGGATATCAAGCTTCTTTGAGTGGTCATTGTTCTGAACCTGGCATAATGTCTTTTTGGAGGCCTCCTTGGAGGAAGCTGCCATCAAGAAGTTTACACCCAGGTTAGGTAGATAAGTTGTGTATTGATAAAAACAGTTCACATATATTGCTTATTTAATATACGCCAGGCTCTGTGCTAAGACAGAATGTGATATATGGTATACTTAATGGTGTAAATATGAAAGTTAAAAGAGGAGAGTGATCATTTCTAATCTGAAGGGTCAAATAAAGCTCATAGTTAAGGTTACATTTGAGTAGGGTCTCATATGATGGGTAAGATCTAAGCAGAGAGGAATGGGGTGAGGAGAGTTGGGGATAGAAAGCATAAGTGTATTCAGAGAAAGATTAGTGGTCTTACTGAGTTAAGGCACAGCATGCAGAGATTTAAGGTATGTTGGGATCTAAGGCCAGAGACTAGAGAAGCTGTTGGGGGAGACCCGTTAGATGTAGAGGTGATCCAGCAGGGACAATACTTGTGGGGATGTTACTGCTACTGTAAAAGTGACAGTTATGCTGGGTATTCGAGAGGAAAGGAAGATAAAACAATCAAATATGAGTCAAGTTTATAGCTTTGTGTTTTGGTGAATTGTTAAAAAAAAAAAAAGTAGGGAGAACATGACAGAGTTTTAAGATAAAAATAATGAGTTTAGTTTGGGGCATGCTAATTTTGAGGTTTGACAGGACATCCAGCAATGATCCAAATGCTAAAAGACAAGCAGGCTAGAGAGATTTTGGAGATAGAGAGATTTGAGAGACAACTCAGTCGTGGATTTGGATGAGATTGTCCAGGGGTAATGGGTAGAAAGCGGAAGAAAGGTGCTAAGCACCAATTATATTTTGTTAATTCATTCCACATTTCACTGAATGCCTGTTATGTGACTGACACTGATTTAAGAACTGAGGATATATCAGTTAACAAAATATACACACAACCCTGCTGTTTGGAGCTTACGTTACAGCATCTGCTTTTGATAAGGAATATAAGTCAGACAGTTCTATATAATATCCTTTAAGTCAAATATGGGCAAGAAATCAAAAGAACCAGTCAAATAAGGTAAACATACGTCTAAAGTCTGAGAAAGGTCATTGGATGTGGTGACAATGTGCTAATTAATAACCAATGGTAGAAACAGCTTCATTGGAGTATTGAAGTGGAAACCAACCTGAGAAACGAGGGGATGAAGAGCAAGCAAAGGAATTGAGGGGTAGACCATGATTTTCACTCCTTAACTCTTTGGAATATAGACAGTTCTTTCAAGAAGGTGGACATAAAAAGAGAAAATAGTGCTAAGAGAATTTATTTCTATAAGAGAAGGTCTCACGAGCATGCTAGTAGTCAAGAGGTTTAGAGTGGTCATCAGGGGAAAAGGCGAGACTGAAGATGCTCAAGAGAAGGCAGTGAGCCCAAGAACGCCTGAGGACTTGTTGTTCTGCTAAGACAGAATAACTGGAACTGGTTTACTCTCCATCTAAAAGAAGAAGAAGAACAACAACAACCAGCTCATGAAATATACAAAACAACAATTTTCAAGCCAGTAAATACAGTTATCCTTGAGAGATGAGAAACAAATGAAATGTGCGCTGTGATTGTCCCAGCTTAATGTCTTGAGAGTTTCCAGGCTGTGGCACAGTTCCAGAGGGAACTGAGGTGGTGCTCAGTGAACTCCCTGCATTGAAGAGATGAAGCTGAGAGCCAGGGGAGACCAAGATGGCTAAGGTCCATAGAATCGAGTACTAGAGAAAAGAGTTGTAGAGAGAGAGAACACTAGAGATTTTCAGAGGGTCTCCTTGAGTATCCAGGAAAATATTCAATCCATGCATTTGAGGAAACTTCCCAAGGCCAGGGCAAGAACCATCTTAAAGGACTAGAGGAAACAGCGGTTGGTGTTCACACAGGGCTGAAAACTATGCCTGTAATCACCAGATGGACTGGAAAACTTATAACTCACCAGGAACTGGGTAGAATACTTGGCAAGGTCAGCCGTAAGTGGTGTTCTAGTCTGGACTCACATGACAGATAATATTAGTAAGTCCCAAAACCTCAGATGGTTGTCTAGTAATGGTAATGCATCTCAGTACAAAGCTGTATAGGATTTAAAGAAAAAATATTCATCACTCAACAAGGTAAAATTCACAATGTGTGACAGTCAGTCAAAGATTATCAGGCATGGGAAGAGGCCAGAAATCATGATTCATAATGA